CGGCACGACGCTCCTTTGGATTACACGGCTCTCGATCTCGGCACTGTCCTTTGACCAACGGCTCAAGTCTGTCCCACATCGTCAGGTGAAAATTCTGGTTTTGATTCTTGCTCTCCCTCGGATTCTGTCTTCACCTCACGGACCAATTAACCCAGCAACGCACAGCAGCGACGACGTCACTCAGCTTCGGACTGTCAACAGCGCTTCTGTATGGAACACTCTTACGAACACCAGGTCAGTGGTTTTATTTTTCTCATTCGAATTAAACCCTGACCTTGATAACAGTTGTTCCCTGTGTCCAGAGCTACCAGTCCCTCCTGACGTCCAGATCCAGAACCTCACCACTACCTTGTACTTTCAAAATAAAACCTGTAAAACTGTTTTTGAGTTTGGTATTTTATCAGAGTTCAAAAACCCAGTCATATCAAAAATTCCAACATTTAAAACATGTCTTCAATCTTGAGCATCCATAACACTGAATTTATTTTAAATGAAGCTAGCATTCCATAAAGAAATGCATACGTTTGCCTCCTCTCATGCAAGAGGTTTAAATAAAGATATTGTGAGGTCTGTTAGTTTTCAAAGCTCAGGATGACTCTCGGGTACCACATCGTTTCAGTCAAAAAAAAGACAGTAAATGTGGGTGTTTTATGTTGGTAGGTTTTGTTTATTATGACAAATTTAAGGCAGTCCACATAACCCTCACTAAGTGTGAGTAATATGGATTCTTTGTAAACAAAGTTACAGATTTTTGAGTGTCAAGATACAGAGACATGTTTGAAGGGGTTGACATGTATGAATTCACAATGATAAAAAAAAATCCTCTACTGTGTTTTATGCCAGGGTTTTAACCTAAGATATGTTCATTATGAAAAATGATGGAGTTATAGCTGTTTTGTAGTATTATGTGCAAAACTGGGAGATCTCCCAACATCTTTTCATCTTTTTTTTCTGCTTGGCTTCCAGAGGAGTCAGATGCTTCTGCTTTCTCTCCCGAACCTGTCCCTCCATCCCTGCTTTGCAGTTTTGTCAAGCCTTTCTTCTACCCACCTAACAGACAAGGAACTATGGATCTGGTCAACTGGTCTCTGAACGCAATCGAAACTATTTTTTCAACTATGAGATTGGAGCATGGGGAGCACAGCTGTCCAGTGGAACGGTTGCGGCCGGGCATGTGTCTGGTTCATGGGGGTGGAACCAGGTCTGTTTGGCTCCACTATCCATTGAGGGTGTGGAGTATATGTTCATATTTGGATTTATGATACCTGGATTCCTGCTAATCGGCTGTGGAGGAGTCCTGGTTAATCGGAAAATGAAAGCCATCCTGACAGCAGTCCGGGCCTGTGAGAAGCTGTCAGGGACCTTGTATGGAATATCACATACTGGAAATACACAGACTCAAATACTGGGGGATATAAGTCGCAAACTGGATGTGATTCTGACGAGAATCCCAGTTCAGCAGTGTGCCCATGAGATGAAGGGTTAGACCTGGGTGAAGTTTTCAGATGGAAAGAGAGACAAGGAGGTGATGAAATTTGGAACATTGGCATTTTTGCCATCACAAAGATGCAGTTACAGACTTAAAGCAAAGAAAATCAGGCTGCTTGCCCCAAACAATTATTTTTATCTTTTGATCCCTGCAGCTGGTTACCGCAGGTCGCGAGCTATCGAAAACTCCCTGGGTAAGACGTGAGAGGAAAGACCTGACTCCCCCATCTCTACCCGTTTCACCTGTGGGCGGATCAATCTGAAGGCCGCAATTGGTGGAGACAGAGAACTGACTGGTGATTTGTGCTTTGGTTGATAACAACTTGTTTGGACTCTGGTGGTCTTTGATTGGTTCCAACACGGAGTACTATCCTGGAATGTCACCAGCTCTGCTGAACTCCACCCCATACCATGTGTTCTGACCCCCACTCCCCACCTGTTCTTAGCTCTTGCAGCATGCGAGTGGTTTTTTTAGAGTATGCTTCTGTGCTTCAGTGGAAACATAGGATCAAAGCTCTTTTTTAACTCATCCTTCCTATTGTGTGTATTCCAAGCTGCTGCAAATGGTAGCGCACCATGGTGCGAAAGACCTTGGACGTTCATTCCCCCATTTTTGTTATTTGTGTGTGTTTCTCTGGACAGATGTTCTAAACTGTAAATTTTGTTCTGCATTACATCTTGATGTTGTATGTGAATGGTAGCAAACATTTCTGATTTCTTATTTCTGATCTGTTAGCACTAAAGGTTTGTGATAATATCACACCAAAATTATCTCAAAATCTGCCAACATGGTTGTAAGTTAGAGTTAGAGTTTTTGCTAAGGTTGATTATCTGAGGTGGCCATCTTGAATTGAGCTGACTCCAAACATTCAACGTTGTATTTCTCCATTTTCAGCTTATTTTCTGAGAGTTTCTCTAAAGTCTGATTAGTTTGTGAGACAGTTTACAAACAATGAGTGTGGACTTTGTTTCAGAATCAGCATTGTTTTATTGGCCATGTACGCTGACAATGCAGTAGTTTTTGGCCATGGTAGCTAACAGTGTATGAAATAGCAACAAACATTGGGTGTGCTGGGTACAGCAGTTCATGACATAAAATTTATATATACAATAATTTTACAAAAATGTTTTTGTAAAAATGTTGTAGCACTCAAGATATGTGTTCAGAACTACTTCCTACTACCACGTCAAATTTTAGCTCATTATCTGCAACATTGACTAATTTTTAGCCATTTTTTTATGAAGGACCGAAATTATCGAAACAAGAAAAAGCAGTAGAAATATATGTTTTTGAGTTGGTTAGTGACGGACTTGGGCTGACACAATAACTTACTCACTTGTAGATAAATGTACGTATATTCCCTGATTACCTCATGAATGTTTCATTTGTGAGATATTCTGCTAGAATGACAACACAATAGAAAGGCAAAAATCATGTTTTATGCCTGAACCATGATGGCAACTATTAGATTTGTGTCCTTTCAGATCAACATACAAAGGAAAAATTATTAAAAGTTAAAATTAGTGAGCTTACATAACTGAACATGGCCTCTAGATTATATTTTAACTATCCATTATTTGAAATAAATAAATAAATAAATAAATAAATAAATAAATAAATAAATATGGTAATTCTATGTAGCATTGTTACCAATAAGCTTAATCCAAAAATATATTAATTTTAAGCTAAATTAAAAGTAAAATTGTCTGGTGTAGGAGTGTACATCACTCCCACACATTCTTGCCTCTTCTCTCCACATGATGCCCCCACCTGGTTCCCAGGGAAAAAAAAACACTGACAGATTGCCTATACGCTGAACAGTGAAAAAGGCAGTATGGGGAAGAAAAAGACAAGGACAAGGATAAGTTATCTCCTGTCCAGTGTCTAATCTTCAATCTCTGGGATCACTGATATCTGATAAGAACGGTGTAAATCAAGAGGGTAAAAAATAAAAAAATAAAAAATCCCCACCTTAGTTTTGTGTCTGCACAAGACAGGCAGTCTCTTTCTTTGCAGGGATTTACAGTAGCTGGTGCAAATGTTCATTTACTGCCTCACAGCAGTTGTGTACATACTAATGTAACAGCCAAAGAAATGTTTTTATTTGGTTCTAGGTTGAAAAGTGAAGAATTACTTGTAAATTCTTAACAAAGGCTGTCAGCCACGGATCCTTCATTCAGCAGCCATGTCTTTAATGAATTTCTGCTGCTAAAATGTTATATTGGAAGGCGTTTAACACGATGCCTCACAGGAGTATGCTGCAGCCTGCAAACGTGAAGCAAAAGCAATGCCAGAGCAGTGCAACAGTGCTTCTTTTCTAATCCCAGGATGTGTAAAGCAGCCAAAATACACATTGATTAATTTAATGTGCCCAGGATCATGTTGAGAATCCTATCTGATGTAATTCTTCACCATGTTTTTATTTTGTGTTGGTATTAGTTTGGAAGAAATGCAATTTGAATCAAAAATACGAGTGAATACTTTCTCGTGCACTGATCACATTTTATGGAAGCATGTTCTGCAAAATTGGCATGAGCATTACACTTTAGTCAGGCTTTTAGGATTTTGAAAAAGGGTGTCAACATTTTAAGGCCCCTGACTCTATGTTTACAAACCACACGTAAGTTTACCAAATTTACCAAATTTACGCAAGTTACGAACTGACCGGATATTTTGATAACAAAACACAACAACAGCTGCTGAAGCTGTAAAATCACTACCTACTTCCACTATCTAAGCCGGCACAATTTATCTTTCATGTGTCTTCGTCAGGCTTCTTAAAGTGTAACTTACCCCCCTGTGAAAAGATAACTCCGCCCCAAGGCGAAATTTGAAAAATGCATCAAAGTGGGTAGGGGAGGGGGTGTGGGTGGAGGAAAGGGGGTTAGAGAGCGGAGGYGTGGTCAGGAYGAGAGAACGTGACTGGCAGCTAGCATTAGCATAATTGATGCTACATGGAGAGTGACCACAGTATCACAGATAGTTACATCTCTAAACGGTCTGAGGTGGAGGATTTTTCACCCCCCTCCTCACCAGAGGCAGAGAGAGACTTGATCAAGTCAGCTCAGTCTGGGACTGACTCGTGTTGGGTCCGTGGATCAGGACCTTGAGCTCCAGCTCCAGCAGCATTGGCTGAGCTCTGTGTCTGCCTCACCCCACACCAGCCTCGGACAGAGGAGGAGGAGCGCTCCGACAGCCTGACAGAAAAAAAAAAAAAGCATACAGCTGCAGCTGCTCACAAGATCACTAGTTTAAATCAGGAATAAAAGTGTTGGGTCTCGTTTGACTGAAGTTCGGTCCGGTTCACATACATGTCAACCTGTTTGGACGTTTACCTGTATAAAGAGCCCTAAAAATCCATGAATTTGGCAAAAAGTCCATACAACTCGCACCCGCGGGGGGGTGGGGGGTGGTGTCAGTTGCGGACATGAAAGCGCCTGCTGAAGGAAAGGACAGAGGAAAAATTAACTTATTTCTAGCGGCATAACAGGTTGGAAGATGGCTGTTTGATGTTATTTATTGTTTTTTAAATCATCCTATAGGCTCTGACATGTTAGATAAATTTGAAAATGAGGTTTTTAAAATAGCCGTAAGACTTGAAAAAATCCATGAGATTGCTCTATAGGTCCTACAAGTTGACATGTATGGGTTCGGGCTGCAGTTGCCCCGCCGCCATTCTTCTCCTCCCCTTCCCGGTGTGCAGGACGTACTGCTGGTGTGTGTGTGGGGGGGGAGAGCACAGCAGTCAGCTCTCTCCACCCGAGGCTGAAGGTCAACAGACGATCATGCTAAGCTTGCTAACTGTTCCACCCTCTGACTGCTGCAGGGGCGTGTCTTAGAGAGAGGCTTTTATACCAGAACACAGCCGCTGTGACGAAACCGTGGAGAAGA